CCAATTCAAGATGTTTTTCTCTCAATGTACTTTGAGTAGTGAGAACCGATTTTTATTATTTTTATGTCAAGTTCTGTATAGTGGCGAACTAGGTAATATTTCAATTAAACTTGGCAAATAGATGTAATTCCACGTACTTTTGAGGTCGGTTTTTTAGTACTCTGTACTGAGATTGTTCATAATCTAGTCTCAAATCAGTTCGGCCATCTTATGACGCGATTACGTCACAAACGAGACCACGTGCATACATCTGTTCCATTGTCAGTCTAAGCCGGAAAGTCCTAACATCTAAGTAATTATCATTAACTATTTAACGCCACTGATAGCGTAATACGCGTGGCTATAGATGACATTCAAAATATTTTTTGATTTCTGTTAATAATAATTTTTTTCGTTAGTTAGGTAGTAGGTTGACTTTGTATTTTGAAACCCTCCTGTGTTCAAAGTCCTTTTTATAGTAAATTTTTGTAAACTATATTATAGAAAAATACTCTCGGGGAAAGGAATTAAGTGGCCTCGCGCTGAGTTCCAGGCCACTTTTGATATTGAGGGTAATAACTCGGCAGATGAGCTGGCAAAGGTTGGTGCTAGGGAGGCCTTCATTAGTCTCGAAACCTTCAGAGAAAGCATGCAGACTGGCAAAGTTCATTCGGTGAATCCACGGCAGAGCACACGTCTCCCGAGACGTCTGGTTTCATACAGATGGTCTTGAGCATTCAAACGCCCTAATAACTGCCCACTTTGCTAAACACTAGAGCTCTAGCACTGGGCAGAAATGGCATTAGAACGCTGACTAGAGCCTTAATAGGACAGACTTGACCAAGCACATTTTTAATGATATCGAGTGCCGGGACAAACAAGTCGTGCGCCCGGTGGTAAGCGATACGCCTACGCCTGTCCGAAGTTGCAGTGCCACTCACGAGCTTTAAATCACAAAGATCTGAGGGGCACCGCCACTGCACCCGTCACCTGGAGATTATTAAACCTCAGGAGAAGAGCACAGCAAACACACAATAGTATCTGGATTCCGTTTTATTTCTGTTCTTTCACCAAACAGACACTCTACAACAAAAAAACCACTCTTCGTTCCCTCGACCAAAATCATACAATTTCTTTACTAGCCGTGGCCTCTAGCGGCGTAATTGGATGTCAATACAATTGCCTTCGAAACAAATACTTCTAATCATTTTCTAGTAGTTTTAATTGCATTCTACAACTTCAGTGTTTATATAATTTCAATGTTTAATAATTGACAAATTAAATAATTATAATTGACCATGATGACTGTGACTAAAGCATATTAGTAAAATGTGACGAAGCTCCGGAAGGTACAACTCACAGCTACTAGCAATATGTCTACATGACAATTACGAATTTAATAAAAATAACTATTAAAATTATGCAATGGCATACAGCATTTTGATTGTTATATAACTTGCAATTAAATATTAATTTTGTATTTAAATAATTATAATTTACTAGTCATGTTTAATTAATGTCGTTCCAGTAAGATGTGAAGTGAGGATCAGGCTTTGGGTGAATCTTGTAACAAGATATAAGTTGACAAGTCCCATGTGCATGTAATTTCACCAGCGCCCTTTCTCTTCAAAACGGGAACGCAGTAATGCTCGCTCACATTGCCGCTTGGCGGCAGAAATAGGTAAGGTGGCAGTACTTCCTTGGACGAACTCTTTCACAAGGAGCTCTACTGCTACTAACAAGACACGAGGCGGATGAAAGTCTCCTTACCCAATGCTGACCCTTGGTGGGCATATTAACCTCCATACTGGGAAGGCACAGGGCACAACCAAAGGACATTAAAACAGTGGAAGCCAGGAAAGTCCTTCGGTTCTTTATCACTGTTGGTCTTGACCCCGCTTAATTATTAATTATTGGCGATTACAATTTTGTGACTCGTTCAGCTCTTATAGGTATTCTCGATCTAAGATGTTTGAAAAGAATATTGTAAATGATAAATGTAGTCAAATGTATATATTTACGAAGAGCAACCCCTAGTTTCTTGCTCATTCTTTTCACAGGAATCTGCCGTACGAATGAGCAGTATTTATGAATTATGTATTCAATCAATACGACTATTTCTTTATTTTATAATGAAATAAAGATGATAAAAAAGACCAATCAATGGTCGCAGTGATGAAGGGCGGTATGTACTCTGCGGGAGCCGCGTAGCTCTTGCATGAGGCCACCCTAATAATGATAAATCTGGTAAACAGTGGCATCACACTGCTTAGTTGCGTGCCGCGAGGGCACGTAAAATTATTACCTAAATGACAACGTAGAGCGTACTAATTTGTAATCAGAATGGCGTTATTACGCCACGAACAAAATATGAAAATAAGAATCAATAAATTCGTCTATTATAATGATATACCACTTTTTTCATGATAATTAATCAAGAATTTTGTTGCTTTGTAGGACAAAATCGGATTTAATATGAGATTTATATTATTTTATTTGCAAATTAGCATTTTCAGTCGCATCGGTGTCTCTTCGTAGTTGTTGTACTATTTACTATAATATGCAGAGCATGCACTAACTGTAATCGAACGTCTGAAATTGATTACTAAAATCCATCCGATTAATAAGTCATAATGTAATAGACATTGCATAGCTTCTACATCCGTTACTTCAAGATTTCAAATTCGTTCATTACGTTTACTTTATAGCGTATATTTATAATAAAATACTTGTAACTAAAGTTCGCAATATATGAATAAATTATAATATTCTAAATATACATCACACTAATATAATTTGTCATACAAAACAAAAATATTTATAATATCAAATTTATTTCAGATCCACATAAAAAATCTTAAAAATTGTAAATTGCATACAAAAATAGCAAAACTGACCCAAAAGCACCTAAATATAAATTATAATATAAGGCATAAAATTAATATAAGAGTCTTTAAGATAAATTTGTAACAAATATTATGTTCGGAGATTCGTAACATAGAAAATTGTTTACATGGTATATTGACGTCGCATCACAATCGCTTCTAAAAAATATGTTAGGGCCATAATTTTTTTTAAAGTTTATTTAGATAAGCATACACAAAAATGTGCGCTTTCATTCACGATAGCAAAGAGTTAAGAGGTAAACCATAATTTACAATTGTCTATTATATAATCTTTTACGCATCTTTTTTGTTCATTTGTTCACGAAAAATATATAATATATTAATATTATATATTTTTCGTCAGAAGTTATTAAAACTTGAATAAACTTACACTTTATAACGAAATTATTACAATTAAGAACATGGCATTTTTTGTACAAGCATTACGTTTGGCACTTACGAGATAATAATAATGGAGTGTTTACGAAATGTAATGTTAATTATAAATGAAATGGTTTCGACTAAGAGACAAAAAAAATAATAATTCAATATTTACTATAGGTTAGCAAATAGCACTCGAGATAAATATTTACTGAAAATGTTTCTTTGTTGTTGTAGGATGTGATAGACAACATTTAAAGTGGCGGTGTAGTTGTCACTCTACACCCTCTTTTCCTAAAATGGTTATTGCAATTAAAAAAAATTCATGTTAAAGACAAGGACCTAGCTGTTGAGCGTCAACTGTAATCAGTAACCGACCAAACCAACAACTTATTTTCATTACAAATATATTCATAAAATTCTGCACATACACTTCTTAAAAAAATACTAAATAAATCGAAATTTAAAATAAAATAAAAATTAAAAATAAATTTAAAAATGTCAAATGTATAGTAAAAAGTTAAAAAATATATGATTTAAAAAACGTGAATTATTTTAGGTTCGATATTCAGGTACCTCCTTATTATGTAAATACACTTAACAAAATGTGCCATTATAAAATTCGGTATTCATTACAGTATCACAAAGGTGCTTCCATACTAACGCTCCTCACTCACAGAGACGCAAATTATTTAAACCTGAAGATGCACGGTGCACGGCGCACGGGAGCACGGTGGAAAAATTAAATTTAGCATACACATCGTGCTTCTTTAGTAACTGCCACATGCGACATTTTTGTCGTATGTATTTTACTTAGCTTTCAAAAACGGATATCCTCCGGTTATTTGTAAAATACAAACAACCACGCAGGACTATATTACTTTAACAAAAACTTTTGTTCCATGACTTTTTACAAAAAATAATAAAAGGTTACCAAAAATAAACTTTTGAGTTTTTGTAGCACCATCTGACACTTTTTAGATCTGCTGCTTGATTTTGATTGCCTCTCCTGATCGGAAACTGCGTCTCTTCCGAGTCGATGCGCGTAATTGCGATTCACAACTGGCCGATCGGAAACTTTTGACATTTCAAATCGGAACAATAGTTAACTCACAAATTAGAAAGATATAGTAGGAATCAGGTCCATCTTCTCGCTCGGAAACTCATCTGATTTCGAGACTCGGATGGGCTACGATTTGAATTAAAATCAGCCTGCTGTATTTGGTAAGTTCAAACGTCCAACAACATCCTCCCCGATAACGCTCACTCCTGGGAGCCTACTCTCGTTCTCAATATTCTTGATTGCACAATAAACAAGCAAAAATACAAAACAATCAAAAATACAGTGTACAACAGGCGGCCTTATTGCTAAATAGCAATCTCTGCCAGGCAACCGTTCTCCATTCGACATTCGTCCGAAATAATAACAGTCAAATCGAAAGAAGACTCAAAAGACAATGTCAAGTATGAAGCTTCATTTGCATCATGCGTCTTTTAATTTCCTCAAGTATTACGCATTTGGACAAGTATTACTTATTAGAGCAGTAGAGCTTAACCTTGTGAAAGAGTTCGTCTAGGAAAGTACTGCCATCTTATTATCCATTTGTGCCGCCAAGCAATAATGTGAGCATTACTGCGTTCCGGTTTAGAAGGGTAAGGGTGCTGGTAAAATTACAGGCACATGTGACTTGTAACTTATGTCTCAGGGTGACGGGCGCAGTGGCAGTGCCCATAAAATCTTTGCGATTTAAAGCTCTGAATCGCTTACCTCCAGGCGTACGACTTACATATATATATATATCGATACATGATTATTAAAAAAATAATTGACAGTTGTTATTACGGACGGATGTTGGACGGAGAGAAAGGGAGTCGTCCCCCAGTTCCTGCGTTTTGCATCGGACCGATGTTTATGCTAACGCTTTCTTTTGTTACCACACAGAGTTATCACTCATCACTGTCTAGAGTGATCCATTTAAACATTATTTTTGTGCGAAAGTAAAATCTGATGAATTATTAAGTCATGAAACAAAAATTGTTGTGATGATGGTCCTGAGAGGTTGTTAGTATTTTACAAATAACCCTTTATTTATAAATTCAGCGTAAATACATTTCCATGAAAAATTTACCCCAATTTACCACAGTTAGTCGAGACAGCGGCGAGATATGAAACCGATTTCCATCGATAGGTTAATGTGTATGACACAGAAATGTAGCAATAAATTTCGAACGAATGACAATTATGCGAAATCTAATCAAAATTGTCACGTTCTCTACTATATTAGTTATTCGGAACGCAAACTCTCCTGAGACGGAATAGAAATTTCACGGTTTTTTTGCTAAAAACAAGGCCTTAGGTATAATGGAATCGGTTTCAATTTCGCAGTAAAGACTTTTTATGCTAGTATTTTCTAAGTATGTGGGACTATAATCAGTACAAATATAAATTTAATAATACAGACTGGGTTTATAAACATAACATATCGTGCTTGTATAATTAAAAATTCCTTAAAAATACGAATACTTAAATTATTTCATATAAACGTTTTCCTTGCAGGTGTCCAGGACACCATTGCATTCCCAAAGTCACGCTTAAGGTCAAGTTTAGACTCGGTGCAAATAGGAGCGCCATACTCCTTAATCAACTAATCATTAATGAGTATGATATCCGACAAAATGGCACTACGAAAGTTCCAAGTTAGCGCGTTTGCGCGCTGCACCCGAATCGTATTCGTTACGAATGCGAGAGTATACAAATCTAGAAAACTCGGACCTATTGTATCGGACAGAGATCGAGAGTAGACCCCCAGATAAGAGTCGGACGTAATGCGCAAACCCTCTATAAAGTGTGGAACTAGCGTACGCAGCGCCATCTGAAATTCTGTTTGCGTTGCCAGTCCATTAATTATCATTTTGTTCTAAATGGCATGACAATTGTAATGCAAAAGGGGATCACGCTTTTCTTAAATTAAACAAATTACGCATAAATAGATTTAAATATGTGTGCGAGAATAAATCTACACCATTGTCAAGTAAGTATGGAGGACTCGTATTGTTTTTACAAAAAAATATTGCTATCAATTAAAAATTATATAACAATATAAATTATAACTTCTTTTTTTATTGTTTTAAATAGTAGTGTCGTAGATCTTCAAGAGTTTTCTTCACTATTTTGCAAACCTATACATTCCGTAATTGATCAAGTCATAAATTAGTAAATTCCAAGGCGGACAGGTTACTCTGGCACTTTGAAATGATGGATTCGATCCACAACAGTACAGGTCAGCAAGGGTCAAGATATAATTGCCACCCTGGCACATTACGAGATTCTTCAAATTACAAAATAAAAAAAATGAACTTAAAGCAGATATGCGTAAATCGCAAATATGTTTAGATGGACTGTGTGTCGACATCTTCTCCATAATCCAGATCTTCGTATGTGAGGTCATCGTCCAGGTCGTTCTCTACAATACTCTTACCGTTACCAGGACACGCCAGGCATCTGAAATGTCATGAAATACAAATGTGGTTACATTATAAATTTATCAATTGTTTAAGTGGTGCATTATACCGTTATCTCAGAGATAGTTCATAAAAATTATAATGTACGTGAAGTCCACAACTAGTAACCTAAGCTGGGCACGAAGCCCGAAGCTGAGGTCCAGTCGCATACTCGTGCTCGGTGTTAGTTTATATTATGGACAAGGCCAGTACTGCTAATACTGCTATTTCCGCATAGAGGTCTCGCGCAAGTTGCGCCCTATCGGGCTAGCCCTACAGAAGAGCGTAATTTAGTAAGTTGTCAGTCGCATTTTTTGAGTCTCACAGTTTACGTTCGACTGAAATTCGGTTGGGGCGCCACACGAACGTATTTTATTCAATTACTACTTAGAAAAGGGTTGGGTCCCTTTGACGACCCACACTTGATAGAATGAAGAAAAAGCAGCCTCGGATGTAGAGGGTGCAAGCCGGGGCCCGTGCCCCGGGTGGCAAATTCAAACTTAGCAGACGAATACACTACTCATCATTAACTCAACTTTGACCACTGAGGCGTCTAGTATCTTAGAGCATATAGAAGTGGAGGCGGCAACGATAGGCAGTCCCCTCTGTCAAAGTATGAGCCCAAAATTACCTACTGCCAATAAAACTACTTTGGAATCGATTTCTTTCCATTTCCATTATCGAATTAACCGCGTCAAGTCAAGTGCTCCACGAAACATGTCGTCTTTCGCCATGCAGAATTGTAAAATAATAATCTCAGTACAGAGTACTAAAAAAACCGACCTCAAAGTACATGAAATTACATCTATTTGCCAAGTTTTTTGAAATCGGTTACCGGAAAGTTGCGCAAACCCGGATTCATCCCCTAGTTCGCCACTATACGGAACTTGACACAGGAGATAATAAAAATCGGTTGTCACTACTCAAAGTATATTGAGAGAAAAACGCCTTGAATTAGAGAATAGCAAAAGCAACCATTAAAATAATTGCTCCTTATAATAAAATTTAGGCACTATTTATAAAAATGAATCTTCTTGCGTGAACAGTCACTCTTTAGAGGTGGATGATTTTCTTCAAAATTAAATGGGGCTACTATGGAGATACCCTCTTTTCAACAAAAAAAAAAGAATCATGAAAATCGTTGCACAATACCGGACTTAACGCGTAACATACATACAAAAAAAATGAAATCGATTAAACAATATCTACTGCGTCTAGTCTAACCAAGGAAGAAATTACATTCCGTATACAAGTTTATTTTTTGTATTAATTGCTGGTTTTCTATTTTAACATATTTTTTTTTACGATGATCACATTGATTCAATTTATCGATTACGTAAAAAAATATTACGAGTAATTCGAACATTCTGCAAACACTGAATTATCGATCGATAATTACAATGATGACCTATTAGGTCATCATTGTAATTATTCTTCGCTTAAACATGGACCTTTCAGGCCACATTTTAGAGTTTACAATTAACAAAAGTCAAGTCGTGACGTACTACATACTCCTGTTTGCTTGTAGTACACCCTCCCGCCCCTCAAAAAAATGACAGAGTTTTGTTTGAGAAACAACGCTAATAGCGCCTCCCGTCCTAAATGCTCTTAAGTGTCGTATTACAGAACTCTACTCAATGCTCATGTCAGGATTTGAGCAGCCTTGAGTATGATTTCAAGCACTGGAAATACGACCCTAATGGCAAGGACTTGAGTATGATTTCTAGTGCTTTGAATCATACTCAAGTCCTGACTTGAGCATTGAGTAGAGTTCTAGAATACGACCCTAAGTCTAGTACTTTATTTTTTTCATTACGTTATTTATTTCAGACCCTATCCTGTGCTCTCCTAAATAAATGTCCTACACGTCCATGTATGTATATTTGTAAATAAATAGGCTTAACACAGAAAGAGCAGCGCAAGATAGGTCCTTGTGTCGTTCTTTCCGTGAGGAATGTGTCCATCAGTGGGCTTCTGATGGCAGAAATGATGATGATGATGATGATAAAGGTAAAAATATAGACGGGCTGGGGCGTCATTTTCAGTTTTTGCCCCGCCTCAAAAAAATTCAAGATCTGGGGTTGAGAAAAAAGCTTTACTGGCATGGCAGCCTTGAGGGCTTCTCTGATGTGTTGCCGTTGTGGATTAGAAGAAGACCTCCTGTCATGTGTAGTCGCGTTGCGTGCCTGGATAGCGTTTGTACTTGGTGTTTGTGTCATATAATAGATCCATTAAACAAAGTATGAATTTAAGAAGCATTAGAGGCTAATGTTAGAGAACGAAGCTGCGTATATCTACACTCAATATGAAAAGATTAAAGTGTGGGCAGTTTCATATTTATGGAAGTTTATATGAACATCTAGATGTGTAAGGTAACACTGCGACTGAAGTTCGGTCCTAATCACGCGTGTGAGTCGACAAACAACTCATTTTATGTCGTCGTGTGTATGTATGTATGTAACGTGCCAAACGCACCCTGGCAGAGATTTTCAAGGATCGATTGCAGAGTAGATGACTCAACTTTAGAAATGCGTTACGCGCTTGTTCTATCCGACATTTGATCTCCACGCTATGATCACATATTTGGACTTTTATATGAAACCGAATGCAGCGTAAAATACGCGACTAACAGGCATAGAATGTTTACAACTCACAAGATTACGTTCGTCTCGCGTCACTCTTATAATTTGGCCAGTAAAAATTTGATCCGAAAAGATTCAGAAAGGCCCGTATTATTGAAGGATTATATTATCCATTTAGAATGACCGAAAGTTTCTCAGCAACACCTGTGTTGCAACCCGATACATTGCTGGTAGGGTGTGCGCATCCATCAATATGCTAATCATCAAGACGGCCTTGCCGGGTGTTCAATATTACTGCTTCGAAATAGATAGCTATACTTTGAATCAGGTTGGTAACTGAATTAAATACGTATTTAAACTACTTTCCGACTACGCCGCAAAAAATTGTAACAACTGTTACTAGAAGTTAAATATATATTTCATGGATTTTTTAGCGCTTTAAATAAGTAGGCACATTTTCAAGAAGCAACATAAATGACCACATATTTTTACTTGTTTTTCTACCAACATCTTTGGTAGTAAAACAACTAAAAATATGTGATCATTTATGTTACGAATCTTATAATCTGTATTATGTACAATACTTTAATGTACGTTATTTTAGGCCAGTTTTGTTTACGCAATGTGGTTTCTTGTGAACACTGTTATTTTGGTTTGCGCATGTAATTTTCTCGACATTGCTCTCGTTTCATAGCCACGTAGACGGTACTCGTAATTATTCAAAACTTACTTGTTCTCATTGATTCCATATAACAGGCATTTGTCACCTATACATTCGCAGCAACCATCGTGGAACCATCTGGAAAACAGTTATATTTACTTTATCTTAATAAGCATAACTCAGTAATTAAAACTAGAACATAAATAAGAAATATACATAACTGTATCAACGTCTATTCAGTGATCTTACCGTAAGCTGGTAGCGCCCATGGAGCGGCACGAATAGCGGCATTTGTCGCACGACATGCACTGCGACATGTATGCGACCGTGCAGTTAATTGTTACCACGTTGCGGCTTTCCGGTATAGATTCTTGTTCCACGCTCTCTGTAATGATTTGGAAGAAATGCCATTGTAGATTGCAAATTTTCGATTCTTTTCGGTTTTTCAGAATATTACACTAGTACAGTCATCAGCACATCGAACTATACACTTTTGTGCGAATATTGTCTCCAGTGTAACAGAACAAGATCCGTCAATATGTAGCGTGATGTGCTACCGTCTGTACATACATATCGAATGTCGAATATTCATATATTGGCTGCCAAAAACGTCATTTTACATTTACGAAAGAACGAAAAACCCTCACAAACGGCAAAATTAATAACTCAAGTAAGGATCAGTTAAAGGGATGAATTAATTAAATTGTTTCAATAGTTGTATTTCAAACCGATTGCCGATAATCATCTTATTCCGTGCCGATAATGTTTACAGTAGTGTTGCAATAAATAGTTTATTCGGTGTCATGCAGAATACCAAACATTTGGCCAGGAGCGTAGCCGAATAGCCGCAATAATATGCGAATAAAAAGGCAGAATTATACGGCCTAATTAATGCACGTAGGAAAATTGCCATGAAAGTAATTGTTTATTTCACTTCAGTTTCAGTAACTTAAGTTTGTTAAAATACCAAAGTATGCAAATAATAAGCATTTGGTTGCTATTGTTATTTGGCCATGAGTAAACTACATTACATATAAGTAGGCAGTTTTCATTTAATATGTTACCTTTTTTGACGACTTAAAGTAACCCATAGGTAGTTATATTACTTTTCTAGAAACACTATACAACATACACAACGTATTTAAGTTCTAGGGATACACGATTTTTTGCTTTGAATCGATTTTTGGATCGTGATGATCGTAGGCCTCTGAATAGATCCACGGATCGGATCATATGCTCTGGATTTATAATAAATAAACTTTTATTACGTGATTTAATTGCCATAATAATATGTAAATGTTATTTTAGCTTTTCACAGATGCAAATCCTTTACATCAAACTTAACTTTTCAATAATATTGTCGTATAACTTAATATACAAAGCATTGTCCTCTTCATTTTACGTTCTTGTACTTGACGAAATCATTAACTAGATGAGACTTGTTTAAACTATGAATATGATCTTTTTCCACGACTTACTTTTGAATCGATTCGCTTAAAAATCGCAATGAAGTGAATCGATTCGAAAAATCGCTAGATGGTATGCAATTGAATCATTCTTCATAAAAATTTAATCACAATGTGAATAGCTAGTATGTTAATGATGTAACAGGAATTACATGATAATTTACTGTATTTTTTCTTATATATATAGTTTTTATTCGGCCCAAATAAAAACTATAAACTCTAATTGGTATTGAGTGTGACAACAACTGATTTTTGTTTATATTTGAAAGAATAAAATAATAACTTTTCATAAGTATTTATGACTAATTCTCAACTGCTTTGCCATCGCGAAAAGTTTAGGGATTATAATTCCTAAATTGCAAAAGACAAAGTTCTATTATGTATATGTATAAATCCTCATAGACAAGAGAATTACACTATCTAAGAGCAGGAACAAAAAAATAAAATTCTCATAATAGACCACACATTGAAACAAAGGTAGTTGTTGACCAAACACTTGGGCAGGTAGAGATTCCAATGTAATGAGTCACCACAGCAGGGTGCAAGCTTAATACCTTATTTTTTGTCCAATTTATGACTGCCAGTGTGAGGTCTCAATTCAACAATGCCTTTTGAAATGAGAATTTTCTTTCTAATGTTATCCGTTTTCTTATGAAGATATTATAGGTACAGTTACCTACAATATGATTAGTGCTATTTAAAACAAATATATTAGTTTCTTAAGAAAAATTCTCAACAAGTCTTTGCAAAATAATATGATATATACAACAATTTTCTGATTATCTTTGTAGGTATATTTTAATCAGTCAAATTTAGCGTAACTTTTTTGTGAGCATATTTTTTTTATGTCAGGTGAAGCGACGAACAATTTGTGCGTCTGGTGGTAAGCGACATCCATAACTGTTGCAGTGCCAATCAACAGCAAAGTTTTGAGGGGTACCGCCACTGCTACAGGTCGAGACAGCAAATCTTACGAATTTTTATATTTTTTATATATTACCAAGTGGCGGGACGAATAAGTTGTGCGCCTGTCGGTAAGCGACATATAATGCCACTCAGAGCTTTAAATCACAAAGACCTAGAGGCTCTGCCACTGCGCCGGTTACCCTGAGACATAATTTGACAGGTCTTTTGCATGTAGTTTTATCAGCACCCTTACCCTTCCAAACCGAAACGCAGTAATGCTCACATTATTGCTTGGCGCCAGAAGTAGGTAAGGTGGCAGTGCTTCCCTGGACAAACTATTTTACAAGGTGCTCTACTGTTACAAAATTTTATAATGTAATGTGCTACATAGCCACAACAATTACTGGTATCAACATAGTTTGAGTGGCATGAGTTGAATTCCCTGTACTATAAGTGCCAGGGCAACAGAATTTACTCAAAGGCACTACCTAGAACACCCAAACCAGGAACAATTAAGATAATTCCCGAAATTGGTCCTATTGGAACTCAAAACTGTAACCTCCTAATCCAGAACACACAGTGCAAAGCATTGGGTCATTGAGGTCATCAATGATGTGTTGTAATGTATGAAACACTACTGAGCTTGGAATGAAAGATCCTTGCATAAGAAAAGTTACAAAATATAATTATAATTATTTTTCTTTTTTTTACAATAAGTTAAAAATTAAGTTTAAGGTTGTACTACAAATTCTTGAAGATTTATGTGTGGAAAAGAAGAATGGTTTTTTTTGTAAGAAATTGTAAAAAACAAACTTTTCTTTTAATGGTACCTGTGTTGCGTTAAGATGTTCCAGGTTAATAAAATATAAATTATTTACATAAAGAAAAGAATTCAAATATCACTTACGTAAATGATAGACCAGTTTGTTCTCTGCAGCCAGTCTTACTGCAGATATATCAATATCCGTAGGAAACGTTATAGACAGCCATCTCTCTTGAGGGTCAGGATCAATAGTTAGAGCCGAGAACAGCCCAGGCACTCCATCATCAAGTTCTTCGACATATGACGTTTTGGATAACTCTGTTCGTGTGTCGTTTGGTTTTGGACACATGTCTGTATCAGAAACATGTTGATAAATATTTTTCATGGGAATGGTACTTCATTAGTATAATAGTCTATTGTCATAAAAATTAATGAAATTCCTTTACAGAGTTAAACAGTGATAAACAAAAACCAAGAAGAATTTATAATAATCTCACTATGTAAATCATTAAATTTAAGTGTATATTTATAAATAATCTTCAATTTTGTTTTATTGTAGGAGTGTATTATTACTGATTGTCCTTTGACCTTACAATTGCAAGTTTGCAGCTGCCAATATAGTTTTAGTATTATTATCAGTAACAAGATATAAGATAGACCACTTGTTAGTAACTATGAATCTGTCATGCTAATTCTGATGAAAATTGGGTCTGACATGGTGTGTAACAAGCTGGTGCCCGCACCTCAGTGTCTAGGTGCCTGTTTTGCATATGGTGGGTGCTGGGTCCTACATTCACTGCAAAATGTTTTCTTTTTAATGAATTAAAGCCAAGTACACTTCACGCCTTTCCCCCATCATGGTAGGCAGAGACCACAGCCCTTCACTTGCTATGATCCTAATACACATTCTGTACCTCATCCATCCATAAAATCTTCAATGTATAGTGATAGTGTCATGGTACGAAATTCTTTGTAACTTCCAAAAAATAGAGTAATTTGAAGTTACAAATTTAAGAATCACATATGCTGTATTTACATCTGCTAGAATTCTATCCACTATTAGAACATAACAAAGAGGAAAATAGTACGTCTTAGCACATAAAGTGTCAAAGTAGAACAGAACTACGTAAATTATAATAAAAGTAAAGCTTTAGGGGTCTTTGTAAAACAGAAGTGCATGCGGCTTTTGTATGGGGAATATCTTGAGTAAATGTTCAACACAATTTGATAGAAAATCTTACCAACACAACTACAGCATTCGCTGTATAGGTAGCTGAGACAGTTGAAGCAATCCTTGCAGCAGGAGCAATCTTTCAAATCACATTTACATGACTGAGTAAGCATACACTTGGACACTACACTAGCGCATATGGCTTCGTTACACGCGTATATTATAGGCACTATGCAGATTAGTGCCACGATAAAATAAAATTTGCCAGCCATCTCTGAAAGTACTCTCAAACGGTCAATAAATGTACACGAGCTTGGAAAAATAAACAACTAATATGTAAGTTTTTGTTTCATTAACCACGAATACGTTTGATATAGTTACGTTAGTCGTATATTTAATTTGCAGAATGTCTGAAAAAGTTTTAGTAAATTATACTTCTTTATATCAAAAGGGAAAAGTTTTATTAAATTTACAAAGTTTTATGTTCCACGAGCGAGCACTTCCTCCTGCAAAGTTTTCGAACGAATGAAATGAAATGAATGAATGGACAGATATTGAGAAACATCAAAAGAAAGAAATAAATGTTATAATAATGTTACTATTGTAAATAAAGATATTTGAAATATTTTACTGCCTGGATGGTATTCAGCTATAGCGTCAATCATTCGTACTTACTGGATAATGCTTCTATTAAAAAAAGAAATTATTTAAATTTTATAAGTCTGTTTTAATGACTCCGCTCTTCATTAACTTTTAAAAAATGGCGGAAAATTGATTGACCTATAATTGTAGACAAATCAAGTAGATACAAAGCATAAATCTGTGAAATGCATAAAATTTTCACTAGAATCCCATGGGCAATACATTTATAATTGTAGATTGCATTTTACGATTTTGTCTTTCAAAATGCCTAAAATGGTGTAGTTTTTAGGAATATAAGCAATATGATATTTAAAAGCACATACATCTACGAAAAAGTTGATTATCATTTGTTTACAATGGATATTATTGATAATCATCATTTTTAGATTTCCAATTAATGCTGATTGATTGTGTACTTATGAACAGTCAAATACGATATTCTAAATTTTATTCGTATTTATAATCATTGTTCCCCGCAGTGCTGTTCTGCTAGCAAGTATGGTAAGAATAAACGGATAATTAAACTTAATTTTCACATACAAATAATCTATAATTTTGAGGACATAGGGGAACGAAACACTAGTGCCACCTATTATCGAGTAGCAGAACCTTTACTGTTTGAAATTTTTATTAGTTACTCTACATCTTTTTCAGAGAAAATTAAGCTTAATAATATTGAGTTTAGCACTTTTGACGATAGCCAAGGCATACAAAAATCCACACTATGTTGCCGGCCGCTCGGTGAACGTGCATCTCTTTGAATGGAAGTGGGATGATATTGCTGTCGAATGTGAAAGATTTCTGGGACCTAAAGGTTTTGGAGGGATACAGGTGACTGGAACTTTGACGAGAATTTACCTAGATAGTATCACATAACGAAGTACTTCCTTTTAATTGTGTAGCTTATAAAATGCAAGTACTTGTTTACCTAAATATCATGAATATAAATTTAATTACGAACTCTAAATATATTTTATTGCACTACTCTTGTACAGAAAACAGCTTGCTTGTGTTTACACCTTGGACTTTAGAAACTCCTATTGTAGAATTGAGATTAGAACTTAAGCGTAAAGCCCAGCGTAAAGCCCAACTATTATTTGTGCAATACAAGCTCTGTTATTGCACTTGTTAAATCTATAAACAAGCATTATTGCAGATTTCCCCCCCAAATGAAAATGTGGTATTATGGGAGTACAAACGTCCTTGGTGGGAGCGCTACCAGTCGATTTCATACATATTGGAGACCCGGTCGGGACATGAACAACAGTTAGCTAGCATGATTCGACGGTGCAACGACGCTGGAGTCAGGTAGTTTTAGTGATAAGAATGGTATCTGGTTTTTCCAAAGATATATTTTCTTAAGAGTCTATACTACCTCAAATGGCTTTGGTTGATTCTGGATAAAAGTGAAAGAGCTGAATCGATCGCTTTGGAAAAAACATAATAGTAAAATTGTGGATAAACACTGATTACTACACGGTGCGAAAACACGATTCAGAAAAAAAACACAAACTGACTTCGAAATTTTACAAGAAAACCGCTGTTTTTAATAGGTACTTTACATATACCAATGATTTTATTTTTATCAACTAAACTACACAGAACACGTATACTAAACGATATACATTTTTCAAACGGCTTTAATTTCGTTTGTGAAAAAATAAATTCTAAAAGTGTCCCTGCAACTCAAGCAAAATAAACCGTATAAGTACGGGAAAAATTTGAAATCGAGCTCAGGTAGTATAGACTCTTAAGAATGTGACAGTTCAAATGAAAATTTCGTATGGTTGCTACACGGGTTATATTGGCTACACACTCACGTACCCAATCGTACAATATAATCAAAAGTTACGTTAAAAAGTTTGCAACAAGTATTTTCTTTCAGAATTTATGTAGATGCCATTCTCCTTCCTCTCCCCTCGGATACCGCTTTGAACGGTCGTGTCTATTGCTGCCTCCTTAAAATTGTTTTTAATATTAATTGTTTTCTATTATTTCACTTTTATATTCTTGAAGTACCAGGACAGCAGCAATTCAAAGTGTTAACTTAAAAGTGTCGTGTGAAAGAGAAGTCTTAGTGAGTGAGCAATCAGTGTAAAAATCACTTCTAATAGTGAATGACGTCAAAATAACTCGTCTATTATTGGCTATTAATTGACCTGCCCACCTCGCGCAAGTGCATCGTATTGTGGGTGTCATCGGCTGTCATCTACCTGTCTCTTGCGGATCATCGTGCGTTCCCTTTTCGTGCATAAAACAAGTTTTGCCGACGGAAAACTTCCGTGCGACAAATAGGCCTACACTCTTAACTAATTATATATTTTTTACGATAACGCTGGGAGTTTCTTACTCCAATTAACATGTCGCTCCGCAGGACACCACCAAAAGGACGATCTGGTTTACCAGAGCTAGAAAGAAGCCTCTCACTTTCTACCCCTAATATTACTGAAACTTCGTCTATTTCAACCCGACCTCTGAAGAGAAAGCAGGGGGATGAGCTCGAAGATATTTTCCACAGGATGGAAGACATGTTCAGAACTATGCGAGATGAGCAAAACAGTAAATTAGATGCGGCATTATCTAAAATAACCGAGCAACATAAAGAGCTGACTAAATCTATTTCTTTTATATCAGAACAGTATGAGGATATGAAGTCAACAATTGAAACTTTACTAAAAGAAAAAACTAACAACCTACGTTATATACAAACACTTGAAGGAAAGATTGAATATCTGGAGAAGAAGACTCGTTCTACATCCGTGGAATTGCGTAATATTCCAATTGTAAACAACGAAAACACTTCAGTGTTATGTGATACGATTGTCAAGATAGGGAAAATAGTCAAGATTCCCCTACAGCAATCAGATATTAAAAATGTTTACCGAATTAACAAAAGAAATGACAACAAACCTGTAATTGTGGAATTTATTTCTGATATTGTAAAAAGTAATTTCTTACGCTCGACGAAGTATAGTAAGAAAACAGACAAAAATTCGCTGACCTCAACTGCACTAGGTATTGATGGCCCTGTGAAACAAATTTATATATCGGAATTTTTGACATCTAAAGCTAACAGATTGTTTTTTCTGGCGAGGGACTATGCGAACTCGCATGCTTTTGAATATGTATGGACGGCGTATGGAAATATCTATTTACGGAAAAAACAAGGTGATTCCGCTATTCGTATCAATAACGAAGACGACCTGAAGAAGTTAACATCTAAGTGACTATCTCTGTATGCATTGAAGTACGTGCGTTCGTTGTTCCACAAATTAAGCTTTATATATATACCACTACAATGTTCAATGCAATTTTATTATGTATATGCCATCAGTCATTACTATTTTTGGCACAACAATAATTCTATATACACTTTACATACAAATACACCATTTTTCACTTCCATAAACACATACAACAAGCTTACAAATATATACACAGTGCCTATATACACATACTGCCTAAATACACGCGTACAACATCGTATACCTACTACTACACTTCTAACTTGTACGATACACTTTATTTACTTATCACAGCAGCATTTTATTATTTCAATTTTTTTCACACAATATAAAAGTCATGTCAGTAAGCGATTTAATTAAAAATATAGATCAGTTTGATATTTCTGTACCTATTTCGTGTCCTCCAGAACAATGTCACACGCATCTTGACCATTCTAAAAATTACCTAAAAATTATTCAGCAAAATATACGCAGCATAAATTGTAATTATGACGAACTAACCTTACTTTTATCTAGAATGAAATTACAATGTGACATAATTGTTTTATCTGAATGTTGGCTATCTTCACTTGTCGCCTCGCCTGAAATGACAGGGTATACTTACTATAAAACTCATGATAATTATAATCAGAATGATGGTTTGATGATGTTTGTAAAAAGCCAGCTAAGTTACACAATAGAAGAGCCAAGTCTGTCGGAAGCAAATTGTCTTTTATTAAAGTTAGGAACAGAAACTGCAGTGGTCGGTATTTATAGACCTCCCTGCTTTAAAAATATCATACCTTTTTTGCATTCTTTTCACCTTCTACTTGAAAGTATCTCAATCTTCACAAATATAGTTATTGTTGGGGATATTAATATAAATTTGCTCAGTGTTGATGCCGAAACAGCATCATACCTGGATATAGTATCTTATCATGGTCTCCTTCCAGCTATTAATACCTCGACCCGAGAAAACAACTGTTTAGATCATGTAATATTGAAAACAAAACTTCCTGCTATTACTTTTAACTTACAAACAACTGTAACAGATCACACTGCTGTTCTATTTTGTCTTAAAGTAAGAAAAATATCTACACTGTCTAACAACAAAACATCGTGTAAAATTAACATGGAAGGTATTGTCATGGAGTGTGCAAATACGAATTACAATCAATTATTCTCTGAAAATAATTTAAATAGGGCCACTAATCTATTTATTGAAACTACTATGCGTATTATTAAAAATAATAGTCAGCTAATTAGAGCTCCTAGAAGTAAACTCATCATAAAACCTTGGATTACCCTCGGCTTATTAAGATGTATTAGAAATAGAGATTTGATGCACAGTAAACAAAGACTACTCCCCAATAATGAAACTCTTAAGGTTACATACAAGAGGTATAGAAATTTTTGTAATAAACTTCTCAAAAAACTAAAACAACAATATGAACGTGACCAACTCAACATGGTTAAAAACAACTCTAAAAAACTATGGACCACAATAAAATTAGTTACAAATTTAAATAAACAAAAAGAATGTCCACATGAACTCCTAGCATCCGGAAATTCACCTATATCCTCCACTGATGTAACTAACCATTTTTTCGCCAGTGTAGGTAAACACCTTGCCGAAAGTATCCCACGTAATATTACCCCTTTTGAAAATCTTTGGTCTACCTCTAGCACACTACCAAACTCGTTTGTTTTTCTTGAAACCGATTGTGAAGAGATTGAGCGAGAGATTACTAATCTTAAAACAGACTGCTCTCCAGGCTGGGATGGTATCTCGTCTAAGATTTTAAAACAGATCTCACCTTTTATTACTCCTGTTCTTACCAACATTATAAACCGCTGTATTAGTACAGGCACATTTCCCGAAGCTTTTAAAAAATCCATTGTCCATCCAATTTATAAGGCCGGAGATAAACACTGCGCCAATAACTACAGGCCTATTTCTATACTTACCTCTCTCTCTAAAGTATTTGAGCGCATTATCAACAAGAGACTTGTCGGCTTCCTGGAAACCAATAGCATTCTTGCTAGATCACAGTACGGTTTCAGAAAGCACAAATCCACGGATGATGCCGTCCATGATTTCACAGACTTTTTAGTTAAAAAGATGGATAAGGGAAAGAAGTGTATTTCTGTATTTATTGATCTCGCGAAAGCCTTCGATACCGTTTCTGTTACGAATCTCATAGAGAAGCTTAACAGAATCGGTATCAGGGGCACTCAGCTAAAATTATTTACAGATTACCTATCTAATCGAAAACAGCGAGTCAAAATTGGTGACTACCTAAGTGATGAACTTCCCATCACATATGGCGTTCCTCAAGGCAGCATTGTTGGTCCAACCCTCTTTTTATGCTATATAAATGAACTCTGTCAGGTCCAAATACCAAACTGTAACATAATCGCATATGCGGATGATACAACTCTTACATTTTATGGTGATTCTTGGGAAGATGTATTTTCACTGGCACAGAAAGGCTTTGATATCGTTAATCACTGGCTAGCAGCAAACTCGTTGACGCTGAATACAGACAAAACGAAATACGTACCATTTTGTATTCGAAATACTACTTCTAATTCTTGCTTAGATTTTGATTTGTATGCCCATAAATGCTCCTTTCCTCCAACCGCTACCTGTAGCTGTGATAAGATTGAAAGAACACAAAATATCCGTTACCTTGGAATTATCATTGACCAAAATCTCTCCTTCTACCCGCATATACAGAGTTTGTCTCAAAAAATTCGGAAGCTAATCTTTGTCTTCAAACACCTAAGGCATATTGCTGATTTCAAAGTTTTAAGAAATGTATATCTGGCGTTGGCGCAGTCATTACTAACCTACTGTATTACCTCTTGGGGTGGTGCTGCTAAAAATAAGCTAATTATATTGGAACGAGCTCAAAGATGTTTATTAAAGGTTGCACTGTGCAAATCTCGACTTTTTCCTACATCCCAACTATACCTAGAAGCGAATGTGCTAACAGTGCGTCAACTGTACCTGCTAACAACGTTAATTCGTCAACACGCAATTACTCCTCCATCCAGAGCTCCTTCCGTATCTGACAACCGTAGACTTTTCACTAGTTGTGATCACAATAGGGCCAATACTTCATTTGCCCAAAAATTCTTCCACTTTAGAGCCAGTCGACTATACAATGTTTTCAATAAAAAGCTTAATATTGTACTCCTCTGTAAGCAGGAAGTAAAACATGCAATCACAAAATATTTATTAAAATGTACGTACGACGAAACTGAAAAATTTCTTTTAATTCAAACCTAGCACATAAGGTGGTATACAAAATTCATACATAAACAAGCACGCGCAGAGACACTTCGACGTAATATCACGCAGGTACACACATTCATCACACTACCCCACACACACACACGCACACACACACACACACACACGCATGCATACACATACACATACACACATACACAATACAATCTATAGATTTAAATTTTTTTATTTTTTATTTTATTTTACTTACCTAAATTTTCTTTACTTTGATTATCCTTTCTCCGTGTTTATAGTATTGTTATCCGTGGTGAGAGACCTGGCATCCTATATTACAAGCTTACGCTTAGTTTAGGTACCAGTCTCTTACAAACATAATATAGAATTAATTTAATTATATACATTTTTAAGTGTTACGTGTATAACTGTTATGATTGTGGAGAAAATAAACATATATTTTATTTTTATTTATTTATTCTAAACCACATGACGGGTGAGCCTCCTTCGAATGTAGGTACAGCGGGTAGCACTGCAATATTTAATCAGTGGTATTATCCCGCCGTGCCGTACAGGAGGGAGCACTTTAATTATCCACTGTGCTCTATTGCCGATAGTGACTGGACTCAAAACGCAGCCAATGTAAGTACGATTTCCTAGTACCCTAATTTCAAAATTTTACAATGATTTTTTCCATTTATCTTCAATTATGCCAATCTGTTACTCAAAGATACCGATATAGATAGCTCATTAGTTAAGTAGTTAGGGGTTAAGGATATTTACCTCAGTTTACGCCTACCAATCCCAATTCTAAATGCATGGTTGTGGTTTATGTGAGTTGAGTAAACTTCAATCAAAATTAAAAAATATGTATCCAAATCTAGTAATGTATTGTTTCAGATCCGGAATTGTGAATTTATAGGATTGAAAGATTTGAACCAGGCAAATGAACACGTGAGACAAATGATTGTCGACTTTATGAACAAGCTCATTGATTTGGGAGTTGCTGGTTTCAGGTAATTAGCCACTCAATGAATTGTATAGCAACATCCTAGTAAAAGCCAAGTACTTAGTTATAAAAGAAAATATGTTCATAATGACGACTCCTCCTGGATATCTTTGACGACCTCGTGGCTCTACTGTTTGCACTGAACGTTGGACGAGGAAGTTCCCAAAGGCCGATAGAATCAATTTGGGAAATGTTGTAGGGTGATCTGTTTAATGTCCCGGACTCAATTCCGTTGCTCTGGTACTCATAAGTACAGGGAATTCCCAAGTTTGAGACAAGGTAATTGAAAAATTGAAAATCGTTGTCGGGCACATTATATTGTTAATATTATCTAAAAAATGAATAATCTTGTGTCTTTTTGAATCTGCCCAATCAATAGAGGTAATCCATATTTTGAGCTCAATTTTTATTTTTTTAAATTATAATATCAAGCGACGAAGAAATCGTGCGCCTGATGGTAAGCTCCATGCCTGTCCACAACAGTTGCAGTGCCACTCCTGAGCTTTAAATAGCAAAGATCTGAGGGGCACTGCCTCTGCGTCTGAAACCCTGAGATACAAATATACAAGTCCCATGTGCCTGTGATTTCACCATATTTTTCATAAATAGGATTGACGCAGCAACGTTCATGTGGCCAGAAGATCTTCGTGAAATTTTTAATCGTCTTCATAACTTGAATACCGATCACGGATTCCCTCCTAATGCTCGGCCTTACATCTATCAAGAAGTCAGTGATTACGGCGATAACATCATAACTAGAGACGAGTATACTCCTATAGCAGCAGTTACCGAGTTTCTAGCTGGAAAAGAATTGACTAATTGCTTTAGAAGGCGCAATCAACTCAAATGGTTGAGTTCTTGGGGACCGGAATGGGGTCTCATGGCTCACGGCGACGCTTTAACCTTTATTGACAATCACGATAATGAGAGAACTCTGGGTGGAGGAGGTGATATCTTAAACTATAAAGAACCCAGACCATATAAGGGTGCTATTGCGTTCCTTCTCGCACATCCGTACGGAGAACCACAGATTATGAGCAGTTTCAACTTCTGGGATAGTGAAGTTGGGCCGCCTATGGACAGCAGTGGAAATATCATATCTCCCGCTATTAATTCGGTGAGTCGTCAAAATAACTGGACGTTGGAAATGAAACTGTTTCTTACGGATCTAAAATATTCAAACAAATAAATGTTTCGGGCTCTTTACTGGACCGTGGCCATTTGTAATACGATGCAATCGTAATAACCTTAAAATTCGGTACTAAGTTCACGGTTAGGTAATTTAACATCGTAAAGTAGTTGTCTTGTTGTAGCAAATCTAAAGATCTGTAGGCAGATTTTTTGTACTATCGCATGTTATTTTAATTTCCAGCTTGACGATGATATTTACTTCTATACATAATATTATATATGTCACGTTGTTGTAAATTTCAGGACGGGTCATGTGGCAATGGCTGGGTGTGCCAACACCGTTGGCGTCAGATCTTCAACATGGTAGGCTTCAGGAACATAGCGGGAGATGCAGGATTGAACGACTGGTGGGACAATGAGAGTAACCAGATTGCTTTTTGCCGAGGCAACCGTGCCTTCATCGCTATTAACAATGACATTTGGAATCTAAATGAGAACTTACAGGTTTGTAGTATGGACGATTATTCCTTACATAGCGAACCTACTACCTAAACGTGGTCTCTCAGAAAAATGCCATTTAAAAACTGCAATTGCCTTGTAAAATAATTTCCTTGCCTTTTCTTTATATAGGCTCTACAGAAACTAAATTGGAATCATGTCTTGAAAATTGAATAGTGTAATGTCGTATTGTAGACGTGTCTCCCAGCGGGTAGTTACTGCGACGTGATATCGGGCAACAAGGTAGGCAATTCGTGTCAGGGCAAAACCGTCACAGTAGGCAACGATGGCCGAGCGCAGATCAACATTGGAGCGCTTGACTTCGATATGGTTCTAGCCATACATGTTGGATCAGAGGTAAGATGCCAATATTAAGTATATTTTCTCTTGGAGTGAACTGATTTCAACACGAATTAATTTCGTCTAATTTCAAGTGAAGGGTTTTCCAATAAAGATGTAACAATTTTGTATTTCAATAAAACACACAATAATTGAGATATCGAGCTGAAATTTATACCAGTTGCAGTACACATATTACATTTAAGAATGGATTTCGATCTCGTGCATATGACGCAAGTTTGCAGCGTACAATTCTTTTTCTTATGTCCCTATTGAATAACCTGAATATATTGAAACTTTTGCAAGTATGTTTTCTATTTCGAGTCTAAATTGTTCAGGAACATTTAATTGACCTTCAGATGAAGTAGAGACACCACGTATATCACATTAATCGTAATTGTCATTTTCACTTTCTTTTATATCCATTCCTAAGATAAAAATATCGATATAGATATCGTACTACTATTATTAAAACGTTTAATTATCCCTTCTTATAAGCTTTTCTTCTCTGTTGAAAGACTAGTCCATTTCCTTGCGAGATCTGTATTCATTCGATAGCACTGGGAGTTTCTGTGTACTCTGCTCTTCAATTATTTCTGTAGTACTTAATCCCCTATAATTACAAACTTTCACTTTATAGAATACTAGTTGGTACCCGCGACTTTGTCTGCGTAGAATACGTACTTACTGTACTATACTAGCATTATATTTTAGTAGTAGTAGAGCTCCTTGTGAAAGAGTTCGTTCAGTGAAGAACCACGACGGAACGCAGTAATGTGCATTACTGCGTTCCGGTTTTAAAGGGTAAGGGTGCTGGTGAAATTAAAGCCCCATGGGACCTATCAACTTATGGCTCAAGGTGACAGGCGCAGTGGCAGTGCCTCTCATATTTTTGCGATTTAAAGCACTGAGTAGCACTGCAACTGTTATGGATCGGCGTGTAGCTTACCATCAGGCGCACGACTTGTTCGACCCGTCACTTAATATTATAAACAAATCTATTTTCCATAGTGTTGTTGGTGCTCCATACAATTTTTCATCACTTTTTCACCCCCTTTAAGATTTATTTTTGACTGACTTCAAAAAAAGGAGGAGGTTCTCAATTCGGGTGTATATTTTTTTTGTACGTATGTTACGCGATAACTCATTTGTGAACCTTTACCACTCATTTGCCACCTCTAAGGGTGGCAAAGAAGGGGATGAATCCCATTTCGCGTACTTTGCGGTAGCCGATTTCAATCAATAAAACTTAGCAAATAGATATAGTTCCACGAACTTTTGAGATCCGTTTTTTTAATACATTGTACCACAGGCATATATCTACATGTCTGTGCTCTGTACTGAGATTATTCTGTTGCTAATGAACATTCATAATCTTAACCAGAGTTAACATTTATTTATTTATTTAGCGTACATATACGCACTTCATTCTTTGCTTATTTTCCAGAGCCGCCTGTAATCTTGCTGAAGATATGGAAGGACTGAATTTGAAAATATAAGCTAGCTATAAGCAAAACTTCAACATAGATATCATTAGCTAAAACTGCTTTCAATAAAATGAAAAATAAAAACTCTGTTCATTATCATTTCTTGTCTTACGTCTTATATATTGCCAAAGAACTTGAAACTTCAAACTGGTTAACTTTGACATTATTGCACGCGTAAACTGCAAAATGACTTGCTAGTTAAACTTAAGGGACTTGGACAAAGGGCGGTGTTACGGGTAATGAGATTTAGCATAAAAGTTTACTTGCTGTGCGAGTGTATAATGAAAAAAAACCGCAAAAAAATAGCTCCTATGAATCTCCCCAGTACTTTGAGTATTAGTGTAAGGAAATGATAACAATGCAATAAAATGAAATAAAAATGATTGATTATGTGAGGTTATTTTTTTATGCAAAAATTAATAAAAGCTGTGGTAGCCTAATGTTTGACTACCGCCTTTCAAGCAAAGGCTGTGGGTTCGAATCCAGCCTCGTTCACGCTCGGAACACGTGTGAAGTCCCCAACTCGCATTGAGCCAGCGTGGCGGATTATGACCTATGGTAATAGAAGTTTTAAGTTAATAAAAATGGAAGTAAATTAATTTGCTACTCCGTGAACCCTAAAAAAAACATCGTGTTGTAACCTCCACGTCAAAGAAGGTTCACAACCCTCGGAACAACCCTGGGTTCGCGGAGTAGCAAATTAATTGACTTCCATTTTTATTAACATGGACTTCCGCAAAGTGACGCCTGAATCTATTAATCAGTTTTAAGTTTTCGAATGTTCTGTGGAGTTGGACGTACAGCTCTAACACTCCATTTTAGAATGTCTCACAGATGCTCAATGAGACTGAGGTAGAGACTTGGTGCTGCCGAATCTAAATACTAAATTAAAATACTAAATAAATAGGAAAAGAGCCATAATATTTTTTGTCTAGTAATGTCAGTGCATAAATTTATATTTTATTAGAGATTGACTTACGGTTGTTCACATTTTCAACAGCTGGAAAGTGAAGACGTGCACCAGGTTACATTCACCTAGAACATGATGATCTTCTTTTAAAATGAGTCCATGGCGCATGTAAGTCACATTTATATGTATAATAAATTGGCTTAAACTTAATAATTTGACTGTTAACTTGACTAAAACTAAATTCATTCAATTTGGTACAAATCGACAAACAAAAATGAACCTTAACATAAATTACAAGGATGTCAATATTCAGGAGGCAGACTCTACAACATTCTTAGGCGTGGAAATAGACAGTAGTTGCAAATGGTCACAACACGTCGAGTCACTGGTAGATAAATTACATCGATACGTGTACGTCTTAAGGAGGTTGCGAAATATATCATCATCATCTACAGTTTTGACTGCTTATCATGGTTACGTTGCGTCTCTGCTTAGATATGAACTTGGTTTGGGGTAACTCAACTGAGTGTAAAAAATTGTTCACAGCTCAAAAAAAGTGTGTTTGACTTTTTGTCACACACTTCTTGACCGGTGTTTCCCCATGGGAATCTTGTGCACCTTTGTTTAAAGAATTGGGAATTTCGCCGTTACCGTGTATGTACATTTTTGAAGTGGCATGGTTTGTTAAGCAAAATCTAAACCTTTTAAAAAAAATTACAGATGTACATAGTAGAAGTGTAAGGGACTCAAATAGACTGGTGTATAATAATAAACCTAGATTGTGTTATTACAAAAATCAATGTAACGGTATGTGTGTCCGAATTTATAATGCTCTACCAAAAGACATTCAAACGTTACCAAATAATTTGTTCAGAAACAGACTTAGTGAATGGCTTAGAGACAAAAATTATTACAAAGTGACTGATTTTTTAGATAAATGTTGACATGAAATTAGTGCTAAATGTATATGTACAATGTAATAATGATTTATAAATATTTTATAGTTTGACATAGAAGGTTATTATTTTGTTGTTTTTAATTGACTGATTATTTTTTGTTTCTTATTGGATGTCGACATGAAATTATAAGGTATATTTATGTTTAATGTAATCATGATGTATGATATTTAATAATTTGACATTGATAGTTTATTATTCTCTTGTTATTAATTAATTGTTTATTATTATTCCTTGTACACGTCTGATGACAATGCTATAATTAAACTAAATTTAAGCAACATTTTGCATGCCTAGTCAGGTAAGACATGTGTTCTGTAATAATTGATTAATTAATTAATCTTTCACACCATGTTTTAAGCAAATAAATTTCATTTCATTTCATTTCATTTCATTTCATTTTTATCTAGACCGTTGTTTTGACTCAACTCTACGGTCTTTTGAAAAATATCGCTAAATTGAGCCATCTTTCGATAAGAAACAAAATTTTTTTTAAATCCAAACAAAATACAGTCATCGAAATCCTATAATGGTGTGTAAATTATGTATCATAATTATGTATAAACTTTGATCATATCTGTTGATTATTCTGATCTGAACCCAGCTCTGTGGGTGACAGATAGAGAATGCCTAATGGCATTAAGTCATCTTTCGATAAGAAAATGTTTGTACAATTTTATGTGCGATAGACTATAAAATAAATTAATAAAATAACTCTAAAATAACTAAAATCTTATCAGCAAATTATTGGCAGTATATTTACAATTATAGTAAGTAATATTTGATTCTTTCTCTAGTTGAATACTATACCTATAGTTCTGAAGACATTTTTACCGATAAATACCTGAAAAGTGGATTATCATGTTTATGACGTCACTGATATTAATGAGATTTGTTTTTGTTTTAATGCTAATTGATTGCCTATTTACAAATAACTAAATGTGATATGATAAATAAAATTTTTAATCACTGTTCCCGGTGCCATCGTTCAGCTAGCGAGTATGGTAAGAATAAGCACATAATTAAACTTATTTCAACATCAAAATAATCTATACTTTTAGGACACGGGAGAAAAATCTAATGCAAAATCTTTGCATCTCTCAAATTTTTACTAGTTACTCTACATCTTTTTTAGGGGATATTAAGCTTAGTACTATTGAGTTTAGCACTTTTGACGACTGCCAAGGCATACAAAAATCCATACTATGCTGACGGCCACTCGGTGAACGTGCATCTCTTTGAATGGAAGTGGGATGATATTGCTGCCGAATGTGAAAGATTTTTGGGACCTAAAGGCTATGGAGGGATACAGGTAATTTATACTCAAAAGACAATTTACTTATATCGTATCGCTGATTTAATTATATAGTGTATCTCTATCTCTCTACTATCTCTATCTTATATATGTGTATATCAATAAAATGCAAGTACTTAGCTAAATGCCGTGAATAGAAGTAAATGAAAAATTATCTACTTTAATGAACTCCATTTGCTTATTCATGTAATGTTTGTGAAATAACTTCATTAGTTTACTATAATTATTAAATACAAAGATCGAACACAGAAACATTACGGCTTATGGCGTTAAAATCTGAAAAATACAAAGATGTAGGTAGGTAGTAGATCTTTATATATATCTTTGTATTGAGACATAGACATAAATTTGTATTGAGATATAGACGAAATTCTTCTACGTATCTGTTATAGAACAGACCTGTAGCTCAATTGGAAGAGCAAGGGGATGGTATTCCCGTAGTCGCAGGTTCGAGTCCTGTCGAGTCGAAGAAACTTTTCTTTGTGTTCGATCTTTGTATTAATAAATAATCATAGCAATCCATTTGCTTAATTTAATTAATTAATAATTAGTTAAACTTTTTTGATCGGCATCATAAAAAAATCTAGGTTTTTTTCACATTTGGTTGGTTCGGTTCGAGTCACTTTTAAAAATCTTTAAATGCAGCCGTAAAAATAAAATAAGTCTCCATGAAGCAAAATATATTAAACAAAAATACTTTAACAATACCCTAAGATTATGTTCGCTTCCACATTTATTTGGCGAGCGGCCAGAGGGTGGAATTTCTTACCTGCGGACTTCTTCCCTTCGAACCTGTAACTTAGACCCTTTCAAGGCGAGAGTGAATAGGCTTTATTTAGGTGTGCATGCTACACCATCGACTTCATTATCGCTTTTCATCAGGTGAGATAGAGGTCAAATGAGCACAATAGAAGCTGTTTAATCTACAATATATTATTGCAGATTTCGCCCCCAAATGAAAATGTCGTATTGTGGTCATACAACCGTCCTTGGTGGGAACGCTATCAGTCGATGTCGTACATATTGGAGACCCGGTCAGGTACCGAACAACAATTAGCTAACATGCTTCGGCGGTGTAATGATGCTGGAGTCAGGTAATTGCAGTCATAACAATGTGGAATACAT